CAATGGGACGTGGGCTGTGGGAGGTAGAGAAAAAACTGGAGAGGGCTGCTGGGGAAGAATTATCATTAGAGGGGAATCAAGTGCTCATTCAGGAAGAAGGTGAGAGAATATCCGAAGAGGAGGTTGAGAATATATAGTGGTTTTTGCCAGTGATGGACCATGAATTCCAGAGGACACAATAAAACAGTTGTGCAGGAGATGAGGATAGATTGTAGGCAGGCAGAGCTTTACAAGTACTGGAGATAAAGAGTAAGCTCGTGGTCTAGAGCTCTCTGAGCTGACATGACTACAAGCAAAGGGCCTAATGAGATCAGTTCCAGTGACTAAAGTAGAAATTGGTGGAGGGGCTTAAAGAAATTGAAGGGATAGGGATGGATAAATGTCAGGGGTTCCTTCTTAATGCCGTTCATAGAGACAGGGTGATCCAGGGCTCAGAGTTTGTGTCCTCCTCTTGGACCCATCAGTGGAGGGTGGAAGGCCCAGCGAGACGTGGACTTGGGCCTAGTGCTACAGTTGCTCCTTGACCCCTGTGTTTTCCCAGTGCTGGGGGCTGTTTCTTGACTCTGGATGATGGACTTGAGAACCTCTGGAAAGCCAGGAATTATGCTGAGCCTTTGGACTTGCTCTGACCCCTGATAGGGGTGGAGCGTGGAGGAAGATTAGAAGGCCCGGGCAGGCGTGGGCGCAGTGCCCCTGAGAGCAGCTCCCTCTTGATCTCCTGAGTGAGGGGCTTCCCCTTGATCCCTTTTGATGAAGTTTGGGTGTATTTCTGCCTAATGTGTTTTCTTGCCTATTATTAATATTATAAGTTATATCCATAAATGAAGAGATTCTTAGTGTTTTTTCCCTTTGCTCTATGTTGAGTTTTTAGTTTATCCTTGGGAAATAGGACACGTCTTTGGTTAATAGACATTTGAGGTGCACGAAATGAAACGCTGCGAAAGCAATTCAGATGGAACTGACAGGTATGAGAATGGGGCTCAGCTGCTCCCAGCTTTTCAGTTTGATGACAGTCCTGCAATAAATAATCAGAAACTGGGCGAAATGATAGCAAATGTCAGTTTAAAGTTTTCACTTGTCAAAACTAAGATTGTCTTATCACGAAACCATTGCTGGACCAAATTATGCTACCTTTTATCCTCCTGTTCATTGGAAAACATTCTTCACCCCTGAGTTTTTATGCTGAACTGCGTTAGAGCACTTCACAGACAAATTTCCAGTCTACACTGAGGTTCATTACTGCTCGGTCCATCTAATAAAGGAGACTTAGTTTGGTCAGAAAGCAATTGTTCGACTCTCCTGTTTATCAGTCTCTGTCATTGACAGTTCCAGGTTAAACAATGGGACCTGTCTCAGCAAAGGAACTTCTTTGCAGTTTTATGAAGAGGTTATTGTCATTTTATCTGTACAACAGAGAGAAAACTCGAGAACATCAAGGTTCTATTTGTCTAAGGAGCCATTGTGATGTAGCTTCTGACCTTTGGAAAGAAGACCGAGGTTCACGTGTAATTTAGTGCTGGGTTTCTAAGAAGCATTAGCCAATTTATTTTCAACCAAATGAGGAGTTCTTTTGCCCACCTTGTGGCCAGATGTTGTGAAGGAGACACCAAGAATGTTGGAGCTGCCCAGGGACTGAGCAGCAGCTGGCCCGGCCGGCCCCGCTCTGCCAGATGGGCGCTGAGGCTCAGCGAGCGGGCAGCTCTCCGAGCCCCACGCGGAGGCCCACGCTCACACTCAGGCGTCTTGACTGGTATCTGACACTGACATTTTATGAAAATGTTTGTGTCTGAGTTTCCATCCTCAAGGTGAAAAATATATCCTACTTTAATAGCAACTCTCATATTTAAGGCTATAAAATCTTAAGAGGTAGGAAAGCCATATTGTTTCTTTTGTTGTTGCTTGTTTTTGTAGGATTTTTTTCCTTTTTCAATATGAAATTTCCATGCTCCTTTTTCATCTCGTCCCTCGTCCTCTCACCATGAGTACATATTATGCCTTCAGGGAAAATCAGGACTACAGAAAGGGAGAGGAAGAATTTGAGACCAGGTAGAGATGGCAGTCCTGACTCACCATGATCATGTTGCACTGAGTTTCGTGTGGATCCTGCCGCCTGTTTCTGAGCGTGAGAAGGGGTCATGTAAGCTGTAGGGGGAACAATAGGACATTCTGGGAGAGCAGCAGAGCAGGTCAGAGTCCAGCAGGAATTGCCATGTTAGGTGGCCTGCCAGGGTGAGCACCGTCCCCCACCAACAAGATTTTCAGCGCGTGGCAGTGGTGACACCCTGAGCTTTGAGTATAGGTGCTGCCACTTACAAGCTGTGTGACCCTGGGCAGGTGGGTCACCCTCACTGAGCCTCCGCTTCCTTCTCTGTGAAAGCTTAGAGATCTTACGTGGGTGAAGTGAGATCGCACACATGGAGAAGCGGTCAGTGCAGCAGGGGTCAGCTCACAACAGCTCCATTCCTCTCACTCTACCTTCCTTTCTTCCAGCTTCTCTAGGAATGCCAGCTCTCAATTTGAAGACCTTTTTTAAGAAACTCTGTAGCTGCACATGCCTCCTTGGAAAACTTGCACATCGCCACTTGGTATAATAGGTCAGCTGTAGGAGTGACTACTCTGTTCCAGGGCGACATTTAAAAGTGCCAGCGGAGCTTAACACAGCTCGTTCCAGAAAGCTTACGTTGTGTCTCCATGCCAGAAAGCTCGCATCATAACCAGTGTGCTACACTGTAGTTAATTAACTTGCGAAGACGTGATGAAACCTGGATAACAAGATCTGGCCTCTGTTTTGCACATAGAGGAAGCATTTTATTCTGAGGAATATTCAAGCCCGGGCATTTTATCAATGCTTACTAACTCTCTTTGATAGACATTCTTACAGACACTCAGATTTTTCCGCCTGTTTCCCGCGTCTGTTGTACTCTCCCTCTGCCTGGAAGGCCCTGCTGCCACTGCCTCCGTGCCTTCCTTCTCCTCACCCCTCCTTCAGCTCCACCCTCCCGGTCTTTCAGCATTCTCCGAGAAGCCAGCCATGACCCCCAGAATGAGGGAGGTGCCGCTTCTCTATATCCCCAGACACTCAGTTCATGTAGTGTAAGGGTCTGTGCAGGGCCAGGAGATGGATGAGAAACAGTGAAAGGGTGCTGTAATGGGGAACCGACCTAACCTGGAGAACTGGGCAGTTTGTCTGAGGGAGTGACATTCAGGCTAAAGACTGAGAAGGAGGTAGCTTGGAAGGAGAGGAAAGAACATTTCTGGTGGAGGGAGGAGCAGATGTGGAGACACATCCCACATGCTTGAGGCAAAAAGGAGCATAGCTCCCATTGCTTACCTCTTCCTCGTGGCAGCTGCCGTCCTGTGCTGTAGTCATTGGACATGATGCTTCGTCTCTGGTGTCGTTTACCTGAGAAAGGAAGTGTGGCAGGAGAAGTAGGTGTGATTGTAACCAACGAGTGTGTTGCCTCTGCTGTCCTCTGAGCTTTAGGCTGGCGTCCTAGCTTTCTCAACGGGCAGTGCCCTTCCCTATAACACGGGCATGACAGTTCTGCTTACTCAGGGTCTGTTGTGATGACTCTGTGCAGGCTCTCAGCCGCTGGCATACAGTGACACAGCATGGATTTTATTATTCATATTGTGGCTTCCTAAGGTGTTAAATAGCCGAGCTGGATCGTTTTCCATTTTGATTAGAATTTCTTACGTGACTGCATGAAGTTGGAATAATGAGAATGTTTATTTCCATGACAATCCAAGATAACAAATTCAGGATGAGTGTTTCTCTACACCGTTAAGTAGAGTGGGAAAGGAGAAAGCCTGAGAGCGTGAGTGGAAGCTCTTCCTCGGATGTGTCATAGACTAATTGTCCCTGCTGTGGTTTAATAGTGTAGATTTCCCACAAGTTTGTTCCTATAAAAAATTATTCCTGGGGCCGGCCTTGTGGCCAAGTGGTTAAGTTCGTGCGCTCCGTTTTGGCAGCCCAGGGTTTCACCGGTTTGGATCCGGGGCACAGACATGGCACCACTCATCAGGTCATGCTGAGGTGGTGTCCCACGTGCCACAACTAGAAGGACCTACAACCGGAATATATAACTGTGTACTGGCGGGCTTTCGGGAGAAGAAGAAGGAAAAAGAAGATGATGATGATTAGCTCAGGTGCCAATCTAAAAAAAAAACTTATGCCTCCTTCAAGTCTGTTGTGCTGCCTGCAGCCGTGGGGACAGAAGCCCTCCCCAATACCTCACGGGTGCCGCGCGTCAGAGGATAGCTGTGCCTGCTCCTTGAGCAGATCCTTGGCCTCTGTCCTGACAGACCGTGTGTGGGTGGCCTTTCGTCCACTCACCTGTTACACACAGTCGTGCTGAGTCCCATGTTAGCCACTGCCTGATGGTACGGCCACAGTGCTGATGAAAGGACACATTTAACCGGGGTCTTCGCTACTGTATTATAAAGTGAAGTGCCTGTAGTTTGTATAGCTCGAGTCTTCTAGTAGGTGAGGCTTAAAGAGGAAATACCATCCTTGCCTCTGTAACAACGTCCATCTATTGGAACGAGACTGTGGCTGTCCTTCCTCCACTCGCGTAGCACCCTGCGTGAGCTCAGCCTTAGTGCCTGGCACACAGGACTGTAATTGCCCACTACGCAGCCATCTGCTCTCCAGACTCTCAGTTCTTCCAGGACAGAGACTCTCTTTACCGCCCTGCTCAGTCGGCACTTACTCAGTGTGGATTGGCCAGCAGCTGTGGTGAAGGTGTCACAGGCGTTTATTTTGTGTTAAAGTTGTCGGGATGAAAGAGGGGCCTGTGATAATCCTAAAGTCTGAGGCTGCCTTCTTAGAGCCCGGTCATCTCAACAGGAATTTCATTCAGGTTTTAGCCTTGCCCTTATTAGTTATCTGTAAGTTTTAGAATACTTCATTGAATATGATTTAAACTCACAGTCAGTGCATTTGCTCCTAACTGTGTTTCTGTCTCTTCTCTTTGCGTGTTTTGTTCTGCTCACTACAGTGGCGCAGATTACTATGATTATGGACATGGACTCAGTGAAGAGACCTACGATTCCTACGGTGAGTGGCACGCCCAAGTGAACCATAAATGGAGAGGGGGATGGCCATAGGAACACCTTAAAGATCCATGTTGAGGGGAAACTCAAAAAGACATTTTGACTGTGAAACAGCAGTTTCCTCTCAGTTCATCTGTGCATATCTAGATATTTTTAGAAGCTCCTTTAAGATTTAAATTTAATATTTAAAGAGAACTAAAGACTTGCAGAAAATTACATGAATTCAGATTCTGAACATAGATTTTCTGTTTGGGTTGATTACCACGTGCTGATTTTCTTATTTATAGACTAGTTTGCCAAACTGCAGACACTCGCTAGCGTGGGTCTTTCTGAAGTGTCTGCTTCTTGACAGTAAAGGCAAGTGAAGCAATCGAGACAACAGCTTTAAAGTGATTCTCGCACCCCCATCTTTATATTTTAATCCATCCCCAATCCCCAGTCCTCTGAAAACATCACAGTGGGAGTCATTCCACACCGTGTCCAGGACACTGAGCCAGGGAGGTGTAAGGCACTCCCAGGCTTGCCGACGGCTGAACCCCACTTAATTCAGGGGAGGCTGGTAGAGATGCTGGGGAAACCATGTCCCAGGTCTCAATATGCAGAAGAATGACGGGTTTAATTAAAAGAATTGGCAGCAGCAACATAATAATAGTAAGAAGCTCCTTCGCTGCAGGGCGAAGAGAGCAGAGAACTGAAAGTTTCAATCAGGGTCAAAGCTCCAAAGACGACCTGGTACCCAGTACAAGTGGATCAGGATTCTGCTTAATGGATGTTGTGACATTTCTCTGAACATAACTGAAAAACCATTTTCTGGTGTTCCTTTTGAAGTGCATTTTGTTATATCACCTGCCCCAAGCTGTGATGACCGCACCTTGGGTTTTTTTTTTTTGTTATTCATAACAAATACTTAAGAGAAATATGTTGGTTTGCTGAATGCTGTCTACTTAAATTGATGCAAGTTAGCTTGAGGGAATGACGTTGATTGCATGTTTGTGTCAAAAGAAGAGGTCATTTTAAGCATTTTTCCTTCACAGCTTTTTTAAATTGGTCTCTGTGGACACATGGCTGTTAAATTGCTGTGGGTTGCAGCAGGGCTGTTAACTGTTTGTTGTCGGAGACCTAGAGATCGATCACTGGAAGTCTGGAGGTTGACCAGACGTTTACTCTCAGGAGGCAGAGGTGTAGAATGCCGGGATCCAGTATGGTCCAGTGAAATCTGACATTATGACGTTAAGATTATTTCATATTCATGAAGTATTATTGAGGCATAAATTTCTACCAACACAACTCTAATTTACTCTTTCTGTGAAAGGACCTATGAAAATTGTTACAGCATTTCTTTCAATCTGCCCATTCCCATTTTGCTCTCATTTTTTCATCTTTTGTCTTCACAAATTTTTATCTGTATTTTCTTTGTTTTTTTCTTTTAGAAGAAATCTAAGTGATTCTTTTTCCATTCTCTTTCCCATTCATAAATGTCTTAATGTTTAGCACAAGGCACTTGAATTTGCCACTTGAGCTTGTGAGCTTTTGTGAAATGAGTAGCCAAGAGGAAAGTTCTTGCACAGCTGGTTGTCTTTTAAGATACAAAACTTATTTTTTTTCCCATGCTGATAGGCTTTGCTAGTGAGACATCCATTTTCCATTGTGTTGGTAATTTTTTTACAGTAAATTCCCTTGAGTCTTTTTTTTAGCTCCTCAGGGATATCTATCTTGAATATGACATGTACCATTAGTTCAGGGCTGAGTTAGATTTGGAACAATGAAGCCAGTGGGCTCCATGGCAATGATCTAATTGTGATTCATCTTACTGATTTTAGGACAAGAGGAGTGGACTAACTCAAGACACAAGGCGCCTTCAGCGAGGACAGCAAAGGGCGTCTACAGAGACCAGCCATATGGCAGATACTGATTGTACTGTCTGATGTTGTGAAATAGCCAATCTGTGGCCACCAGTCCTGTATACTGTTCAAAGTAATTTTTTTCTATGAACAATCCCTTTTTAAATAAATCAAAATGCTTAAAATCTGAATGGATGGAACTTAAAACTACTTTGTTGAAACATCAATCTGGGCAGAAAAAAAAAAGACATGTAAAATTTTGTTATTTCCAGTCTGTATATGAAAAAATAGGTCATCAAAAGGAAAAAAAATAACTTTGATTAACTAGTGTTAAACAAAAAAATAGGTTTACTAAATATGTTAATCCATCCTTTTAACATAAGCCTCACCTTTCATTTTAAAGGTTTCCATAGAGTTTAGTTATTTGATCTTTCAGCCATATGCTAGTTTTTATTTCTCTTGCCAACATGCGTAAAAAGGGAAGCCAATTACAAGTGCAAATAATGTGGTATTCTTTTGTAACTCGAGTCTTGAAATGTTCTGTAGTGTTAAGCAAAGTCTCCTCTTGCTTGATACTAAATAAACTTTTGAAAGAAATTTCGTGTGTGTGAGCTAACAATTTCATGTTTTTCTTATTTAAAAAGGCCTTCATAAATAGTTGTAAACAGGGAAAGAATTCATTTAACAACGCTTGTGATAAAAGGGTCACACTAAACATTGTACAACTTATTTAAAAAATGGTATAAAATTAAATGTACCATTATATACTCACCGTAGATTTAAATGCTGTTTAAAGAGTCCAAATGGTATCAAGCTGCTTGAGTGGCACGTTAAAACTACGCAAAACCAAATCTTGTTTAAAAACTGGTTTTAAAATAACTACTACTGATTTTCTGAAAAAGATGTGATCAGTTTTCATCTTGTTGAGCGTTTTTTCACTAGTGCAACTTTGGATTTTTTATGAGAATTTTGGTACCTTAATGAACACTTCGCTCCATGCTGGAAGCAATAAGCACAAAGCTTTTAAAGACATTCTGACTTGACTAATTGAGGTCGCACTCGCCAAGGCTGAGGATGTGTAACCCTTAAACGGTCTTCATTTTCAAAGGTAAATAAATCAAATAAGATTTTAATCTCACTTAATTTATCTTAATATAACTAATAAAACCAGAACGATGACAACGTAGCAAGTTTCATTATCCATTTTAGAAAGGGTTTAAGATCACCTAAATTCTCATTTTAAAAAGTTTAATTTGTTTTAGTAATCTAAAAAGCCTTAGTTTAGTCAGTTTAATTGGGGCCAATTATTCCCTATTAAACAAATGTAAAACCTCATAACTAGTTGTTTGTAATACATTATTTGCTAGTAATTGAGGGCACTTCTTAAAACTGACAAATATTTAATAAAGTTATTCTTTAATCATTTGGCTTAAGTTTTTTTTAAATTGTAGATTATGTAAAATGTTTACTTTTTATTTCTTGAAGGATTTCCTTCTCTTTGAGTAAAAAGGTCTTTTCTTTTGTTAGGAAATGTCAGCTGCCTTGGAAGTCAGAGGAACAGCCGTGCCCCCAGCAAACAAAGGTGAGTGCCTTTGCCTTTCGCGCTGATTGTTTGGACGTGTTACAGAAGATGGAGACAATCGCATGCTCCTCTGAAGTCCGTGGAGCATTTCCCATGCTGGCTCCTGTCACCACCACTCGTGATTATGGCACATTAACTCCCAGTCAGGAAAGAAGCTTCTCGAATGTCACCAGGTCAGACCAGTCAGCTGCGTTCAAGCTGCTGGCCTCAGCTCACGGCAGTGTTTAAATACTTGGATTACTTTCTTCAATAAAAACATCACGGTCTAGGAGCTGGCCGCATGGCCGAGTGGTTAAGTTCTCGTGCTCCGCTTCAGATCCTGGGCGCGGCCATGGCACCACTCATCAGGCCATGCTGAGGTCGCGTCCCACAAGCCACAACCAGCAGCACTCACAACTAGAGTATACAACTATGTACTGGGGGGCTTTTGGGAGAAGAAGGAGAAGAAGATGGGCAACAGGTGTTAGCTCAGGTGCCAGTCTTTAAAAATGTCTATATGTAACAATCTAGTCGAGGACATGAAAAACTTTCCAGATTATTAAGTGAAACTAGCAGTTTACCACACCTAATGTATAATAGGATCCCGATTTTATTTTTTGAAAACTGACTGTGTAGACTATATATTCAGATTCAAAATGGCATGGATGTGCTAGAGATTTTTGACTATAATTATCTTAGGCTTGTGGAATTATGATTCTTTGTGTGTGCTTTTCTATCCTTTTGGGATTTTGCAAAACAAATTACTACTTTTGTAAGCTAAATATTATAAAGTGTGTTTTATAACATTTTTAAAAATTTTTTAAAAATCTAGCAATCTGTGAAGGAAAGGTATCATTAATTTGGTCTTTTCAGATATTCTTGCTTTTTTCTAAATCATCCGAAACATTCCTTAGGCCCTGACATTCCAGAGTCTTACCTTTTACAAGTATTTGCATTTGAGCTCTGCCCCTTACTGTGTGACTTCCAACAAGTCTCACTTTTGACGACAGCACAATGAGAACGATGCTTATTCTCATGTAGTTGTTATTAAGAATTAAGTGCGATAATACTGCAAGAGTGTTTTGTAGTCTGGAAAGTGATGCAATAATGTGAAGTGTAATTGTCAAAGTTGAATATACATGTTTAATATGCATGGGAAACATATACGGGAAGGATATAAGGGTTTTTTTCCTTGAATAGCCAAAATTAGCCTGAAACAATTAAATTACTGTTACTTCACTCTCATAGACCAAAATAAGTTTATTTTATTTATTTATCTTTGCTTCTTTTCTTGCACAGAAAGGGAATATGACGTACAACACATTTTTTTCAATGTGTGGTGCTATATTGAATTTTTCACTTATTTTCTTTCTTTAATAAGTAAGTTTATTTAGGAATTGGTATGTTGAGTAACAAATGTAGGTTTCTTAGATCAGGAATTATGAATAGGTCCCTGGTGGGTAAACCCCCATATGGTCTTCAGAGCTAATTCATAGGAATTGTTGTTCAATTTTATGTTTATCTGCACATTTTTAAAGAATCTGTAGTTTCATCAGACTATAAAAAGGGCTTGTGAGTGAGCAAGGTCGGGAGCCACCAAGAGCAGTCCTGGACAGGGGTGCTCCTGCTTGGCTTTCAGGGCTTCCCCTTATTCGGCACAGACTCTCCCGAGCCCTGTTTCTTCCTGTTTCCACAGGAAGGCTCTGCTGTACACATGCAGTCTTCTGTCCCTGAGAGCACATTGCATCGTTCCCAAGTCTTTCCCCCAGGCTTCGTCTTCCCCCTTGGAATTCGTTTATTTTCTCATTTGACAACATTTACTGAGCACAAGTTCTATGCTAGACTCAAAGGAGGCAACAGGAATACAAAGATCCAGAAGACGTGGACCTTAGATTCAAGTAATTCAGAATCGAATGGAGAGGACAGACTGACAAACCAGTACTTGCTATCTGTCCCCATTCCTTTGCCCGTAGAAACCATGCCCATCCTTCAGGACACAGCCCAGTACCCTCTCTTCCACAGTGTCTCCACCAGTTAACACAGGCCACGGTCCCTCAGCCCTCTCTGAAATAGCATGTTTGGTTTATACTTCTTCATTTTAGTATTGATAGCATGTGACTTAGACTGGTTACAATTTGCCATTATCACCAAGCATGTGCTTATCACCTTCTATAAACGATTTCATTGAATCCTCACAGCTATAAGAAGGATAAGTGTTTTACAAAGGAAGACACTTAAGCTTCAAGAGATGAAGTCATTTATGTAAGCTCACACACCCTGTAACCGGGAGAGCCAATATTGAAGCCTCCACTTTAATCCAGAGTCTTTGTTCTTAACCATGCTGTTGCGCTGTCAGTTCTCTGGGCTAGCACTGACTCCCTCGTTAGATTAAAGGCTCCTTACGAACAGGGGCTAATTTTTTTGTTACCTTGTATCCCTAAAAGTAACTCTGACAACACTGAGCATTGGCTAGACATTATGATTGGATGACCGTTCCCTTCTCCATCTCTGCCCCACCTCCCACCCCAGAGATTCTTGAATCTTCTTATATTCAAGATATTCCAGTTGAATCAGTGTCAGTATTCATTCAGGTACACTGACTGAGCATCTCTCTGCTGCAGACAGTGGGAACGCAGTGATGAATGCTGTAGTCCTGTCCTTGAAGGCGCCACAGTCTACTGGGGAGATGGGCAAGGAAGGCCTCAAGGGCGGTGACAGATATAGGCACATAGAAGCGAGACGTCCACCAGGTTGGGTGATTAGAGGTGGGAAAGGTGCCATCCCAGGTGCCAGGACCAGTAGAAGATAACCACAGAGGGAAGATATTCTGGGAAACATTCATATCCCAGCTCTGCCATTTACCAGCTTTGTCACCTTGGGTAAGTTACTTAACCTGTCTAAGGTGCAGTCTGAGTCACAGTTTATCCGTCCATAAAACGGGCACAGTAATGCTGTCTATCTCAGTGTTAGTGAGAAGATTAGAAGCATGCCTGGCACAAATATAGGTATTTAATCATTTGTTGCTTTATGTAAATATTTGGAGTTATAAGAAAACACGATCATCTAGGAAACTTCAGTTATATTAGATAATTAGAAAAAGCAAGAGATGCTGTCTGGTTAGGCAAGGGACACATAATGAGGGATCTTGCAGGTCCTGCTAAGAACCTTAAATACAGTGAAACCACTTCAGTTGTCATCTCCTCTTCGCCTTTAAGCCCGCCCTGCTCCGTTCCCCTGGGTGGAGATTGTGCCCTTTTCAGTCCGTGTTCCAACAAGAACTTTGGACAGAGTTCTGTTTGCCCGGCTTATTGATCCCGTAGCCAGACAGAGAGTGCCTGGAAAAGCAGGGCCCTAACCCGTTCATCCTCTCGTCCCGTCTCTGAGCACAGTGTCTCGCAGGATGAATATGAAAGAATGACATTGTCAGTGTGATCAATACGATTCCTAACAGGCAGTGTTAGAAATGGTGGGGAATAGTTAGCCAAGACAAAAAAGGTCACTCATGTTAATGGCAAGTCAGGTGGTCTGGCTCCCTTGGTTTAACTCAAAATTTGACAGTGACTCTGGTCCTGTGTACAGAGACGGGTCCCAGAATGTGAAACTGATGATTTGGGGGGGCAGAGAGGAGTGTAGTCAAAAATCTAATTAACCAAAATATAAGCCACTTTATAAGGTATATGTAATGAACATAAATAATAGTTTATTTTCTCTGCAAATAATATCTACTATTTATGTTGATATTCAGTGTCTTGTAGGGATAGAAAGGAAAAAAATCCATCATTATATTTAAAATAAAATCTACTTCATGCTTGATTCTCTTTCCATGTTTGAGAAAGGTTGTAGAACACTTTTAAATTTGAATTTCAGCCTCCCTTATCGAATGGAAAATCCTCCCCAGTTGAAGCTGATTCTGAATGGGATTCTTTCCAGAATCTCAGTTCTCTCTCTTGGTGGTTAGCGGCCATTGCTGAAATTGATTTTCGGATCTTAGTATCCTGAGTCCTTTAGTGGCTCCCGATGGCTTTCAGGAGAAGCTCAGACTCCCTCGCTCTGAGCATACAGCCCTGCAGCTCTTGGTCCTGGCTGCCTCTCCAGCTGCCTCCAGCGTGCTCTCCACCCTTCCCTGCTCTGCTCCAGCCTTGCTGTTGAATCCCCCGGGGAGCCTTCATGTCTGTGCCATTCTCTGCCGGAAATCACGCCGTTCCCTTCCCACTCAGTGCTTGACATGGCCAGTCCTTACTAGTCTGTCCAACTTGGAAATGAGACTGGAAGCATCACCTCACCCAGGAAGCCTTCCTTGGCTGGCCGTCTCCACATCTCGCCTGGGTGTGGGATCCCTGCTTGAGAGCCCTCATAGCTCTGTACAGATTCTGCAACCCAGTGTCCTTTGATTGCTATTTCCTCTCCTCCCCACCACCGACCACGACATAAACGTCATTAGTGCAGGCGCCATGTCTTGTGCCCAGTGAGTGCTAAATGGATAAGCAGTCGAATGTGTGAGTAAATAAAATGAGTGAGGTGGCGCAGTGTCCCATAGTACAAAGCGGATCGGGACTCACTGGGCTCATTGGACCAAGTTAGAGTCATCCTTCCCTTTGAAGAGAATATAACAGGTCATTAAATGTTGTCATTCACATATATAAATATAAAATCACATTTGGCCACCACTCCTGGCAAGATCCATTCTTTGCTCACCTCTCCACGTCTGCTACCTAACATGGTTCCTGGTACTGGACGGCCCTGGAGACACGGAGATGGAATAAATACGCAGACCCCACTGCGAAGTGAGCAGGCTGGAGGGATTATCCTGAAGCGAGATTTCTGCTCCACTTGTTGATGTGTCTTTCTCACCACCTGTAAGACTTTGCGTTCTTTAAAGACAGAACCGTGTCCTGTTTGTCATGTTCACCAGATCCCAGCGTCATGCCGGGTGCATAGCAGGGGCCGACAGGGTGTTCACTCAGGGGCGAATGGTGAGCAAACCTGTGAGTCATGAAATACTACACGGAGCACTGCTCACTGTTAGTTTGGTTTTTCAGCAGAAATGAGATATTTACTTCTGTAACTTCTAGGTTTTTACATGGGAAATGTGAAATTGGAAAACCACAGTATGTTCTTTATTTAATAGATAATACATATGCTTGGTGCAAAATCCAAAACTTCCAGAAGAGTAGACAATGAAAAGTTGGTCCATTGCCAGCCCTACCTACCCCCACACACCCAGAGGCAGCTGTTCATATTGGTTTCCATATTTTTTTTAGAGATTGTGCATATGCAAAGCATATATATTTTTTCTAATTACTACTGTTTTTTACGTACAAAACAGTACACTGTTTTCTACTCGCTTCTACACTGTTTTCTACCCTGTTTCACTTTAAAGTATATCTTAGTGTTCATTTTCTATCATTTTATGCTATAAAGCTACCTTTTTCTCTTTCTTGGCTGAATAATATTTATGTGAATGAACCATAGTTTAAACAACTTTTGGCAGACGTGTAATTTGCTTCCAATATTCTGCAGTCATTAAAGACAGTGCTAGAAAGCATAGCCTTACATCCCTGTTACCGTGCACATTTGTATACATCTGTAGAATAAATTTCTAAATTGGATTTATTGAGTCATTGCATTTTGTACAGATACTATATCGTTCCCCATGGAGGTAATACTATATCTTAATATGCTTTTCTGAAGGAAACTTGAACTCTAAATATGGTGTATCTGTTACTAACACCACTGTTAGCACCTGTGGCGACACGGAAAACTCCTCCACTCTGGGTGGGTTTAAAACCGTCTTCCACCCGCAGCAGGGAGACTGGTGCGTGGTGGGTTAGGAGCCCGCGCGGATGGATGAGGCAGGGTGAGTTTGGATCCAGAAGGGATGTGTCCCGGGCGCTCAGGGACAGCTGAGAGATACGGGGAGCTCCCCCAGCCCTTGCTCAAGCTCGGGTTGGCCTCTTCTCACTGCTGGAGCGGTTTACGTTGGCAGATGTGTTCTCAGGGCCGGCCCTCCATGGGGCTGACTTCACATTAAGCACTGCGGACGCACAGTGGGTGAGAGGTGGCCTCTGCCCCTGAGGGCCCCCAGTCTCGGAGGAGACAGACCCCTGCTGGCACTTCACGCCACAGTGTCCTCGCCCCCATTTTCCTCATCTCTAGCTACCCTGACTCTGCCAATTCTTCAAGCTCTCCCCACTCTTTCTGCCAAAAGAACCCTTTTCTCTCTTGCCTCTGAAAGTACTGGCTGCCAGCACTCAGTCGGCACACACCGAATTCTGACCTGCCGGGCAGTGTCGTGTGGATTGTCCCTTGTCCCCCAGGAAGCTTCTTGAGGGCTGGGAGTAAGTCCGTTACCTCGTGTCACCTTAAAGCACTTTTGCTTCTCAAGCCAGTCAAGAAATACTCATTGATTAACTAAACAATGCCCTAATTAATAGATTTACAACATGAGATGTTGACCTTTATAAAGTATTAGCCTTGAAAATAACAGTTTGCATCTGGTCCGTCCCCGGACATGGATGCTTTGTGCAGGTGACACCGTGAGGTTCGCTGTCTCTGGCCCGGGGCAGTAATAAAAGGCCGGACGCAGGCAGAGGTGGCGCCGGGGACAGGGCAATGGACCCTGTCTGAGGGACCACAAGGAGGGAGAGGCGCCGCGGAGGAGACCTGAGTGCAGTTTCAAAGTTCCGTGGAAATCTTGAAGCAGGAGGGAGAAGGATGCCAGGTGTTAACAGGCTGAGGCAGAGGGGAGCCGGGCATTGACCAAGGCAGGAGCAGCATCCTGTGTCTGGGGACATGTCAGCAGTAGCTGGACTGTAAGTGCCGGTGCCGGGAGAGGGAGAGGGGGTGCTGCATCTGGGGAGGTAGTAGCCAGGTCCTAGGGGGCATGAACCGGGTCCCCAGGGCTTGGCGTCACCCTTTGTGGCATTGCCGGATCCCCTAGGGCCAAGCATGTGTAACCAGAGCTGTGAGAAGTAAACACAGTGATGACCACCTCTCCGGTGTGATTGTTTTTGTATTTTTTCTTTTTCCTTCTGATTGCCGCTTGGGTTTTAAAATAACAGTTTTGTTGCGCCTCAAAATATATCCTATGGTGTTAATTAATAAAAAATTTAAAAAATATATCTGAAAGTTGTCTCTTCTCAGATGCCAAGAATGCAAGGGCTGTGCCAGTGTGTACCCGTAGGAAGTCATTTCACATCGTCATCCCGGAGGGTCCATGTACAGCAAGCACTGCCATTCTGATGTCAGACTCCTAAATGTCACAATGCGTAGTATTTTCATCATCATAATATTTAATCATTCATCTTCCTTACTAAACACAAATATTTTATGTGCTTAATTTCTACAAGTCTGTTTTGCATTGTTTACCATAAATATCCTTATTTCTATTAAATTTCTACTTGCCTGCTTCCTCTGCCTACATCCTGCCTTTCCCAACAGAGCATAAATAATTATTTGTTTCTTAACATGTACAAATATATTTCATTTTCCTCTCTTTCAGGAACTTTCCTTCTAATTTTGGACTGCTTAAAAATAGTCAACTCACCAACGTGCCTAGTCAGTAAATGAATTCGCTTGCGAACTTGAAAATCATCTTACTTTATTACTTTTTGCACAATTTTGTGTTTTGTGAAATGTTTTATAAGATGGTATGCTTTTTAATTTGGAAAGCCTGCTAAAAACAGGAAAGAAAATCAGTTTTATTTTGTTGTCTCCTAAAAACAAAAAACAAATGATTTGTGTATTACTTAATAAAGGCTGCCCGTTTCGATCTCTTCTACTTTAATATAAACCTAGAGAAACCAAGTCTTGCTATTTCAGCTCTAAACTTTGCACACTTGAGAACCACGTACAGCTGCAACTCAATGTGAGAAGTCAAGATTCTGCACATGGTCCAGATTTGAAAATGGTTTATCCATCTCACTTATGGAACAATAAATATGAAAATGTTATGCCGAAAGTATTCTGTCACACGAAAGGTTGATTATAAAGGCTTCTGCGGGAAGCAGAGTGGTGCCGACAGAAGAGAAGTGTGGTTTTCATGCCTCTCCGTAATTTGTTATGGAGCATAAAGGTCATAATCCCTGTGGACGGTATTACTCTGTTCCTTCTCTTTTCATCAATTTACTGGCACATTGTGATTTTAATTCAGTGCGCCCCGGGAGGAAGTGTCTTATTCCTTCTGCTAGCAGCTCACACAACATGTTTCCTAGTCTTGGAATTTCAAGAACAGTCTTACGCATTGTTAAATTGTCAGTTTCTTCCCTCAAAGACACATTTCCTTAAGGAGTTCACTTTTTGCGATGTACCGCGTTGGGAGCATTGTGTTAACCACAGCATAACTTCTTATAGGTTTGCTGTTCCTGATCCTCTCATGACGCATCCTAGAAACATGATTTTCCACTCCTGTGATTCCTACGTTTACTTTTGTCAAATACACATTTCCCCATCTCAGAATGCAAGGAATCAAAGCCTGTGTGTTGGAGGGCCGAGGGGCCGCTACGGGGAGCAGGCAGGCGGGGCAGGAGCCAGAGGGCGTGCACGCCCATCAGAGGGTCAGGGTCGGCCCAGTGCACCCTTTCGTTTGGAATTAATTTTACACAAATCGGAACTTTACAGCATAAGCCAGATTGTTGTAAATGAACACAATTTGAGCTCCCTTTTTGCTTACAGCCTTTTCACCTACTGAGTCAGTGACATGTCATAACCCTGCAAGTAAAATGCTGTAGATTTGAACTTTCCAACTCTTATCTCTGTCCCCTTCTCCTTGGTCCCACTCTTAATACCTTCGTTTTGGCCTCCTCTTTTATGGCCTCCGTTGCTTAATTAATTAAACACATTTAGTGAGACTCTCATGTGCTGGGCACTGTCCCACGTACTAGAGAGAGAGCACAGGACAAAGCAGAGGGCATCCTGCCTCAACAGCTTACCTTCCAAGGGAGGAGACGGGCCATCACCCACAAAACGACAGAATGGTGCTGTGGGGACAGCAGAGCACAATAATGAGAAGAGGGGTTAGACTTGACTTTGGGCGGTAGAGGAATAATGTGACATTTTAGCTGAGACCTAGGAAACTAAAGAAATGAGCTGCATCAAGACACCTGCAAGTGCAAAGATCCTGAGGTGGAAACGTGCTTGGGAGCTTGAGGAGCCGCAGGGATCCCAGTGCAGAAGGAATGGAATGAGTAAGGGGCAAAGACTGAAATGAAATCAGAGAAGGGGCCAGGGGCTGGAGCCCATTGGGCCGAAGGGTCTCCTTTGAACTTTCAGGGAAGATGTTGCGGGAAGAGGGGTGACGTTGAACCAGAGGAGTAACGTGATCCAATGTACATTTTAACAGAATTGCTTTGGAACCACACTGAAAACAGGCTATAGTAGGGCAGGAGGAGACAAGCAACTGCAATGAAAGTAAGAGCATGGTCCAGGGGCACAGCCCTGTGGGTGTTGAGGACGGGCCCAACTTCAGGTCTACTTTGAAGGGAGAGCTGATAAGACTTAGTTCACAGATGGGAGGTGCAGAAAAGTAGGGGTTAGAGGATGCAAAAATTCTGATCTAGAGCCGTTGAGAAAATAGAATTGCTTTCTGAGATGGGAAGATTGTAGAAGGAACAGGTGATACGTTAAGTTTGAGATAGAACTCTGCCATAGGAGGGGAGCTCTCAGCTGGAGATAGGAACTGGAGAGCCATTAGAATACAGATGTCATTTTAAGGTAGACGGTGAGTGTGGAGATCGGAGAACAGACCTGGGGAATCTACAACAGTTAGAGCGAGATGAAGAGGAAGCAGAGACGAAGAAGGAGTCGCCGACTGGCAAGGGGACCGAGGGCTGTGCCGCAGGAGGCATCTGTAGAAAGGACTTCCCAGAGTGGGGACAGGAAGCTCTGCTGCAGGTTCGGCAAGGGAGGTGAGGGCTGAAGATCAGACACAGTAGCTGCATAGAGGCTCCGTGACCATGATTGCTTCATAGAGGGAGGGCTGGGAGCAGATCCAAGAGAGAACTGGAGAAGAGAAATTAGTATAGTCAGCGCTTTCAAGGAGCCTGCTTTCTAGAGTTGCTGGAGAGGGGTGTGGAGTTGAGATGAAACATTTGAGAGTGTAAGAGAGAGACGGGTGGGTTGCTGGGGAGATGTGGGGGAGCCATCTCTGCCCAGGAGGGGGCCTGGGCAGCAGCACACAGATGGTAGAGATGGGAGCAGAGCAGAAGGTGGATGGACATTCATCATGCCAGCAGGTCTCCTTGCATTGGGGTGCCTGCTGCCAGGCCTGTGTAACATGGCCATTAAATGGTGCGTGTCCCACTGTGGTCAGATGCTCCGGGCACCCCCCAGCTTCCCAGCTAACATCAGATTCCTGGGCTCCTACCTACTCTCTAGCTTAAATTCCTGCTGTGACCACAGTCAGGTAATTCTAACATCTGGACCACCAGGTGGGGTGGACGTCCTGGCTGCCCACACGGCCCCTCTGACCTATGTACTGTGCGCCACCCATGTGTCCTCTTCACTGGTTGCTGCTTGTGGCTCTTTAGATGGACCAGATTGTCCCCTGTCACTGCTTTTTACCCCTGCACATGTGTCCTGTTAGCCTGTCTACCTTTCTCTTCTGCTTCCTCTAACCTAGTGCTTCCCAAGTTTTCCAGAACTTGGCACATAAAGAAAATGATAATATGTCACCGGGAGGAGTGGAGGAAGGTCAGAGCTACATGGCCCCACAGAGCCGCCCCTAGCTGAAGGGAATCCATGTCTGTGACGCGTTTTCAGTACAGTGATCTGGAAGCTCCGAGATTCCAGCCGGCTCATACCCATCTTTTCAGACAGCGCCAGACACTCTAACCTACACACCTATGCCTGGTGGCCACGCCGGGGTATAGTCCCTATATTCTTCCTCATCTGTCCCTGCTCTGGCTTACCGCCTTGCAGGACAGACTTTGTCTGAGGCGACTATCCTCCCAACTCGGCCCAGGGCTGACCCATAGCAAGTACTCACTGAATGTCTACACAGACAGCCTCTGGACCGGGGGAAGCCTGGGAGGGATTTGTTTGGGCACAGAAAAGCATTTGAACTTAGGAAGCTGCCTTCAGATTTGAAAAGCAGCTTCACTTTTCCCTGGCTGAGTTCCTCCTGGTCCCCCTCAGACAGCGGGGTCCTCCTTGAGGTCTCCTTTCCCGTCAGCAGCAGGTGGTCCAGCCTGGCAGGGGAAACGTCCATTCCAGCGTTGGATGGATTTTAAGGATCGCAGTGACTTCCTATGGTTTATGAGCGACAGCTGATGGCTTTTTCAACATGTATTTAACTATATTAGACCCTAAAGCCAGCTCTTTGGGGGGATGCCTTCGTGGAGTTGTCAAAATTATGGTTGTGGGGCCAGGCTATTGGCGTAGTGGTCGCATGCTCTGCTTCAGTGGCCGAGGATTCACCTGTTGGGATCCTGGGCACAGACCTACATACCACCCATCAGGCCACACTGTCCCACATACAAAGTAGAGGAAGATGGCACAGGTGTTAGGTCAGTGACAATCTTCCTCACCAAAAAAAAAAAAAAATTATGGTTGCTGCCATGCCGAAAGATTCTGTACTTTCTGGTAATCTGAGATCCTGCCCTTCAGTGACTAAAATCCTCTGCCAGGTGACCCAGGCCAGGTGCTATTGCACTGAACTATTGAAATCTCTGGCAAAACGTTGCTTGTGTGCAGAAGCTAACAGCTCCTGGTCCGTGCTTCTGCTCAGTGGTGACTTCTAGTTTTCATGCACTGCCGGCTCCTCCGGGCTGCCTAGCTCTGACCACCTTCCGAGGCCCAGATCTGCACCCGCCTAACTGCCTCGAGACACCTGAACGCACGTGAGAGCACTTCCCATGCAGCCTGCCCCACACTCTCGTTCCTTGCTCGGCCCTTGCCCCAAAGCCTCTCCTTCCAAATCGTTCCTTGTTCTGGCTCCTGGAGCTGACAGCCTGAGCTGCAGAGCATGGGCCTCTGTGCTCAGGGCCGTCCTAACTAGAGCGGAGAGCTCGGTGTGTGTGTTATCAGCTGCGGCGGAACAGACCATCCCAGAACTCAGCAGTGTAAAGGACAAGCATTTACGACGTCCTACGATCCTGAGGTTCGGGGATCTGGGACACATTCTGGCCCCGAGCTTCTCCTGAGGGTGCAAACTGTGCCTGGAGCTGCAGTCATCTCAAGGCTTGACTGGCCTGGAGAAGCCACTCACTGATTCGCGCCTGGGGCTGGCAGCCAGAGGTCTCTATCCCTCACCACAGGGGCCTCTCAGGCTGCCCGAGTGTCCTCACAACATGACAGCTGGCTCCCCCAGAGCAAGTGGTCCACGACGGAGAGTCCATGAGTGAGAGTGTTCATAAGACAAAGCCACAGACTCGCACCCTCACTTCGCAAGACACGCGACATCACTTCCTCCACATGCTAGTGGTCAGACACACCTCCCCTGGTACAGTGCCGGAGGTGACTGCACAAGGGGGTGAATACCAGGAGGTGGGGACCTCCTGGGCCATCTTGGAGGCGGGCTCCCACCTGGTCAAGTTACTTTACATCTCTGTGCCTCAGTGACCTCACCTGCAAAATGGGGATAGTAGTGACACCTCAAAGAGACTGTCAGGAGGAGGCCTGACACGTTGTAAGGACTTGATATACATTAGTTATCATCATGGACATACTCCAAGATGCACGCATGCACTTTCAATGTAGAGTGTAGACGCCCTCATTCACTGGTCTGAGAGTTCTCAGCCACCATACCCATGTCCCCCTCTATGACAGTGG